ACATGCATGTGCGCTGTCCATGCGCGTGCGCACGTGTGTGTACATGCATGTGTGCTGTCCATGCACGCGCACATGTGTACATGCATGTGCACTGTCCATGCGTGTGCACGTGTGCACTGTGGTTTCATGTTCTCACTATATTTGTAGTTTTATACACACACATACTTAGTTATTTGCCATATTCATCAGTTAGCATTCTAGGCTCTTCATTCCTAACTTCAAAATCCATTCTGTGGCACATTTTCCCTTAAAAATAATAAAATATTAAGCTATTTGTTGTTTATGGTAATAACTGTTTCTAATCCCCAAGCTGACCCTACCTCATGAATAAGGGGCCCTTAAGAACAGTTTCCATACGTTTGCTCTGCACTTTGAGCTGGTCATCAGCAGAGCCTATTTATCTCTCCTGTGTATCTAACAGAAGATAATAATTGCAAATTTTAGAGAATAAATTAGGCACTTTTCTGGCCACCGATGTACACTGTATTTAATAAACCACTGTCTCTGTGTGTCTACTACAATAACAGACATGGCATATGATACAAACTAAGTAACATGGCATGTACTAAAAATATCTGATTAATATATCACAGAAATCTAATTTATTTATAGTTCTAAGCTTCCTTTGCTCAGAGAACCTTCACAGTAGGCATTATTCCCATACTTCTGCTTTCCAAACTACTTCTCAGTTTTAAGCAACAGAACCTGACCCAGGGCTTCCTTTGATCTATATATAGCAGACAGTATCTAATATAAGTTTCCTGTGTAAAAGTCATGGTATTGAACTCTTCCTCTCTCCATTCAAGAAAGAAACATTTTTAAAAGATCTGTACTCTCACACTAGTGACTCAACATTCTCCTACCCAATCTCCTATCAGTTTTATTTTGGGGAGCAGGAGGATCCCCTGCCCTGAGAGGTGCGATCAGTCTTTAACAAATAATATGCAAAGAAATAAAAACAAAAACCATCATTCATGTGGCATTTCTTACCTAACAGCCCCAAAAGGTTGGACGGCTATAATAGATGGCTATTACAGCATCTTTTTTAACTTTAGAGAAATAATCCAATAACGAAATAGAATATTTTCCCAAAATGACTAGATCCAAGGAATTCAACATTCATCCGTCAACGTGTCTCATTAACGCACACTGTCTTGCTCTTACGAATACAATCTTACATGTCACTCTTACTCAGATAATACTAGAAATAGTTTTCATTTCCAAGCAAAGATTAAAGTGCAGTGAGCAGTTTGAACAGAGTACGTTAAATGCCCCGCCCAAGACAGCACCAGTAGAGCTGTAGAAAATTTACCTTAATTTTCCTCTCAGTGTCGTCTAACTTTAATTCTGCTGAAACGAGTTTCTTTGCCAAATCGTCCCGTTCGGGTAGATGTCTAGCTTCAGAGATCTTTTTCAGTTTCTGTAAGGAAAATTTTGTCCTAAAGAGTTCACTTTCTGCATCCTTCACCCTTTTCTCAGTTGCCCGCTCTTTGTCTTGAGATTTTCTTAAGCGTTCTTTGAGAGCTGTGATCTCATTGTTATGACGAACTATAAGCTGTGAGATCTCATTTTCTGCATCCTCATACTTATTCAGAGCTCTCTCCTGTCTGTACTGAAGCCTTTTCAAAGATTTATTTTCTTTTAATAGCTCGGCTAACTTGCCCTGGAGTTCACACACTTCATTCTGCAATTCACTGATTTTTAGCAGTCTTGAAGAAAGGACCCGTCTTGTAACAATGTCCGCAGCATCCTTCCGAGGTGGCTCTCTGTTGAGGCTCTGGGAGCGAAATCCCACCTTGACTTCCTTTCTGTTCGGTAGGCCCTTAGGGCTTGGTTTCCTAGAGGCTAAAAAGAAATAGTAGTTATGTAAAGGGAAAGCTGTACCAAGTGTAATGTTATTTATTCATCCTACCACAAATGGGTCCAGAACATTCTTTATTCTTGTCTCTAAAAATGGATTTTATAATATTTCATTAAGTATCAGGTTTCATTTAGCACTCTAAATATGTTTCTATTAAGAAATATTTGCTGAATTTTCTGAAAGGTTAATAATACTCCAATCCATCAAAAATTACATCCCAATAGTTTATGTAGAATTATTCTACATTGCTAAAAGATGGCAGTATCATGCTGTGGCCATTTGTAACTTCATAGGTAACATGGCAAGTCAGAATTCAAACACGGAGGGCACCCATAGCTCAGAGGCTGGGGCGCCAGCCACATGTTCCAGGGCCAGTGGGCTGGAACCTGCCCCAGGCCTGCTTAACAAACAAATAAACAAAAAATAGCCGGGCATTGTGGCAGGCACCTGTAGTCCCAGCTACTCAGGAGGCTGAGGCAAGAGAATCACTTGAACCCAGGAGTTTGAGGTTACTGTGAGCTATGATGCTACAGCACTCTACCCAGGGTGACAGAGTAAGGCTTTATCTCAATAAAAAAAAATTCAAACATGGACACATGGACATCATTAGTATTCACATGGTGCATAACAAACATTGGAAAACACATTATCACTTGTGCCTAGACATTTGTGATTATTTGAAATGTGAAAACATGTATTTTCTCTAAATTAATTACAACTTTATTTGGGGACAGGATAACAGCATAAGGTACAGAGCAGAAGATTTAGGACTTAAAGTTATCACCTAGTAACCCCTGGGGAAGTTCAATTAAACCTTTCCAAGTCTATTTTCCCAACCCACATAATGAGGATAGTATCACCAACATAATTAGGTTGTAAGCAGAAAGTTCTACATATTCTCTGAAGAACTCCATCTCAGGGCAGCGCCTGTGGCTCAGTGACTAGGGTGCCAGCCACGTATACTGAGGGTGGTGGGTTCGAACCTGGCCCCGGCCAAACTGCAACAACAACAACAAAAAATAGCCAGGCATTGTGGCAGGTGCCTGTAGTTCCAGCTACTCGGGAGGCTGAGGCAAAAGAATCACCTAAACCCAGGAGCTGGAGGTTGCTGTGAGCTGTGACGCCACAGCACTCATGGCAAAGTGAGACTCTAAAGAACTCCATCTCATTTTCAGTGGTTGAAAATGTCAAATAACAGTCAAGTGTGATTTTAAATGCTTTCTCTGGGTTTTTGTGTGTGATAACTCAACTTAAAAATACCTGATATAGGCTCGGGGCCTGTGGCTCAAGTGGCTAAGGTGCCAGCCACATACACCTAAGGTGGC